CCCCCCCAAAACTCCATCAATAAAACAAGACTACGAATCATTTAGCATGTGGCCTGTGAGTTTCATTCTCCCATCCTTGACTTGGCAGCCATCGTGGATACAAGGGAAGGAAAGAAGAGTAAGGTGTTGAGGAAACTCTTTACATTGCTTGTCCTTAACAGAAGCTGATCACACCTCAGAGAGCTCCCAAATCCTTACTAATCATGAGAGTATATGAAAATCCCTACACCCTGAAGCAACGAACATGGTAGGCAGCACTTGTAAGTCATAAACTCTGGTTACTCTGCTGCTACTTCAGTTTCCAGCTACACTAGGTCTCAGAGTATTCTCCCAGAATGACCAAGGGAATAAATTTACAGAGCAGGCTGTTCTGGTTTGGCCATGCAGTGGAGTGCTATCATCAGTTGTAACCTGGGCACCCTCTGCTTCTTCCTCACTCCTCTCTCACCCCTGCCCAATACTACCACGCAAGAATGGAATCATCAGTGAATCTGGTGCTTTGACAACTTCTGAACACTGCCTGAACTCTGCAACCATGTGTAGGGGCCAAAATGGAGGCATTACTGGACCTCTGCCTTTCAGTAACAGAACTGCCACCTGAATCTGTATATGCCCAGTTCAACCAACTGGTTCAGAATTGTGCTCTAATTGCACAATATTGCTCTAAGCAATATCACACTTGCAGTGATCCCTCCAGATATTCAGCAAAAACATATATAGGCTCCTCTGGCCAACTAACTGCACATGAAAGCATATCCTTAGACTGGGAAAACTGGGGTTTGCTGGCAAGCTCCAAATGGTACGACTGTGAGGGAAAGTCTGAGGAAAATGAGAAGTTAAACACTGAGGAGAGAGTTAAAAAGTACCATCCAGCTTCAAGGAAGTAAAAAGTGAAGGGAAAGGTATGCAGAAGTGTCAGGAACACAAGAAGAAAGAACGATGGGAACATCAGCATTCAAGTGCCGTGTCACACAGCTACTTGTAAAGTGGCTGGGGAGAGAGGTTATGAGTAGTTGTGGCAGGGAGATACCCAGAACCTAAGTGCTCAGGCTGTATGTGAATACAGAAAACAAGTAAAGAGACTTTCAGTGGGAAGTGCAGGATGGGAAACCCATATACAGATTCACAGAAGTTTAGGGCTGGAAGGGACTTTGTGAGATCATCAGGTCCAGCCCCCCTGCTCTGGGCAGGAAAGACTGCTGGGGTCAAATAACCCCGGCAAAGTGTGCGCCCACTCTCCTTTTGAAGATTTCCAGGGTAGGTGCCTGCACCACCCCCACTGGGAGTCTATTCTACAGTCTGGTCACATGAATTGTGAAGAAGTTTTTCCTTATATTCAGTCTGAAACTTTCTTCTAGGAGTTTATGACCATTGCTCCTGGTTTTCCCCTGAGGCGCTTTGGAGAATGGTTGTTCACCTACCCCTGATGCTCTCCCCTGATATATTTGCAAGCTGCCACCAACGCCTCCCCTCCACCCCGAAGTCTTCTCTTTTCTAGACTGAACAGTTCCATATCTGTCAGCCTTTCTTTGTATGGCTTGCTCTTCAGGCCTCTAATCATACGAATGGCATACACATACTTTGCAGTTCATACCAACCCATCCTGCCCCCTGAAGCCTCAGCTGATTATAAAGGAACAAAGGATTCAGTAGACACTTAAAATGAATGTTCAACCAGAGTCCCTTCTGCCACAGAGACTAACACACAGACCCTTACATTGCCTCATCCTCATTTGCCACAAGTATCCACCCACACTCATTTACACCAAGTGCTTTCATCTATCTAAGATACAATCATGCTTTCAGCCCCAGGCAGAACTAGGCAGGACCAAGAAGCAGCTATCAGAAAGCAAGAGCACAAATAGTACAATGTATACTTTTCAATGCTTATGCCATACAAAGGCTTATAGAAAGTGTAAGTTTTGTGCAAATCTTTTAAGATGAGATTTAAATACAAATGACTCTGATACTAGGAAGGGCAGAGGGAATTATAAAGATTAATATTAAACAATAAGGATTCATGCTTTTTTGGCTTTGTCAAAGATTTCAAATTGCTCTACAAAACAAGGCATGTTTATACAAAGTCATGTCATGTACAGTATGAGCTGTGGGAAACAAGTTATGAAGAAGCTTACTCTACAGAGCACAGAAGAACAGATGCTTAACTTTAGGAGGACCTGGGCACCAAAGCAGAAATGCGTGACAAAATATTTGGTTTTTAAAGTGCAGTTTTTAAAAGTAAGGGAAGCAGATTGACCTATGTGGACCATAACTGTCAGGAGAAGAGTGAAAGGATAAAGGAAAATTTTAAAAAGAGGGTGGAAAGCCACTGGTGTTTAAAAAGGGGAAGTTATGGTCAGACTAAGAAAGGAAAAGTTATTTTAAAAATATCATTTTAGGAGTACTGGATAATAGGAGAGACTGAGGTTTGTGAGAACATGCACACAATACAAGCCAAGTATTAACAGCTTCATGTACTACTTGAGGGGGACCAGCAGCACGACCTAACAATGAAGAGTTTTAGAACTATCTAGCCAGAATTTACACATTCTTCCTAGCTGAAAATTCCTTGTAATACCGAGGGAAAAAATGCTTTGTTACTTATGACATCTACTCAGGGCATTGGTTTTATACCCATTGACAGACTACTCTAGCCAACGTCAGGGAAGGGTTGTGCTTCCCTAC